GAAGGAACTAGATACTGTTCCGAAATATCATTTACTCGAACCGTCCTGACCGCGTAGCTCAGTTGGAAGAGCATTGGGCTAGTATTCCAAAAGTCGTAGGTTCGAATCCCACCGTGGCCGCGTATATTTTTCAAGCTCGCCCGGTGTGGATATACACTAAGAGTAACACCACAAATATCATATTCACCTGAGTACACTACAGCAACACAGAAAAATTTATATTACTAGAATACATTGGTATCGAAGGAACTAGATTCTGTTCCGAAATATCACTTACTCGAACCGTCCTGACCGCGTAGCTCGGTTGGAAGAGCATTGGGCTAGTATTCCAAAGGTCGTAGGTTCGAATCCCACCGTGGCCGGGCATATTTTTCAAGCTCGCCCGGTGTGGACATACACTCAGAGTAACACCACAAATATCATATTCACCTGAGTACACTACACCAACACAGAAAAAATTCGAATAACTGATTATTGATATCAGGCATGTGTTCGACGAATTCGATAATCTAATATGGGAACGTCCCGTGGTTTGACCATATGGGAAGTTTGAACTGGTGTAACCATTCGTTTATTGTGATGAAAGTGGTTTTATCTACAGCGCCCCGTGATAAATATGTCGTGGAAAGGCCTGAGCTGTATGAAATGATTCAACCAGTGCCCCGTAGAATGCTTGATAATACGGGAAGCTTGAACTGGTGTGACTGATCGTTTATTCAGTTATATGAAAGTAGTTTTATCTACAGCGCCCCGTGATAAATATGTCGTGGGAAGGCTTGAGCTGTGTGAAATGACTAAACATTTAAACCAGTGCCCCGCAGAAAGCTTGATAGTACGGGAAGCTTAAACTGGTGTGACTGATCGTTTATTCAGTTATATGAAAGTGGTTTTATCTACAGTGCCCCGTGGTAAATATGTCGTGGTAAGGTTTGAGCTGTGTGAAATGATTAAACCAGTGCCCCGTAGAATGCTTGATAATACGGGAAGCTTGAAATGGTGTGACTCATCGTTTATTGAGTTTGATATATGCAAGTGGTTTTATCTCCAGCTCCCCGTGACAAATATGTTGTAGGAAGGCTTGAGCTGTGTGAAATGATTAAACCAGTGCCCTGTAGAATGTTTGAGAATACTGGAAGCTTGAACTGGTGTGAATGATCGATGATCGTTTATTCAGTCATATGAAAGTGGTTTTATTTACAGCGCCCCGTAGCAAATATGTCGTTCGAAGGCTTGAGCTGTGTGAAATGATTAAACCAGTGCCCCGTAGAATACTTGATAATACGGGAAGCTTGAATTGGTGTGAATGATCGTTTATTCGGTTGTATGAAAGTGGTTTTGTCTACAGCGCCCCGTGGCCAATATATCGTGGGAAGGCTTGAGCTGTGTGAAATGACTAGATTATTTGTTTGCGACATATGTAAATATAGTGCCCTGTAGAATAGCTGATCAATATACGGGAAGCTTGAACTAGTGTAATTGTTCGCCGTTTTCGTTATGAAACTGGCCTTGTTTGCAGTGCTCCATGATCAATCTGTCGCGGGAAGGCTTGAGCTGTTTGAAATGACTATCTTTGTTTGGTCGATGTTTAACCAGTGCACCGTAGTATACTAGGATAGCATGGTTGATCATGCGGGAAGCTGTAACTGGTGCGAATGCTCGTTTATGTAATGACTGCATGCAATGGCATTATATAGCGCCCAGTGATAAACATGTCGCGGAACGTTTTGAGCGGTGTGGAATTAATATGACTGTTGTTATTTGGCATGCGTGTAATTAGTGTTCTTGAGTAATAGATTTGATAATACAAGAGTTTTGTATAGGTCTGTTCTATGTTGACATGCTGTCGTTTGAATTACGGATCTTTGTTATTCAAATAGTTTAATCAACAATACCACAGGAGGCCCAGGCTCGATTTGCCCGCGCCGCCTGTGCCTTCCTTATAACGAGGGAAGGACGGAGACATTGAGACCAAAATAGCCCAGACTTGGAATATGTCACACGAAACTATCCTCGATTTTTCGCTTTTAATGCATTTCTTTCACAATTAATCGATATCCCCTGTAAGAATGACATCGTATAA